GTAGTAGTGGTAGCAGCGGCAGCAGCAGCAGCAGCAGCAGCAGCAGCAGCAGCAGCAGCAGCAGCAGCCGCAGCAGGAGTAGGAGTAGGAGTAGTAGTAGTAGTAGTAGTAGTAGTAGCAGTAGTAGCAGCAGCAGTCATCAGACATTGAGATTCAGAGCCGAGATTCAGAAGTCAACCACCAGCAATAAGACTTTGCTTCGCTTGTTTTTGGTGCCAGGAGCTCTGTCAGGTGCTGAAGGAGCCCGGGGCGACGTGTGTGGGAAAGTGGGGAAGGAACAGGTCACCCAATACAGGAGCCTTCGTTATTTTGAACACCTCGGAAGATCGGAAGATATACTATCAATTAACATTCAGGCGTGTTGAATTGGGCTTTAGGCAGATTTTAGGCTTGCACACCTTTATTCTGCAGAGGAGTTGTGGGCATCAGTAAGCTCCTGCGTGTGGGGCTGATGAGAGCTTTGCTCTGGGGGCTGCGGCTTTAGTTCTGGCGTTCTGGGTTTCGAAACAGGTATATGAGCATATCAGGCACCAGGTTCGTTTTTTTCCGGGAGGGCAGTTGCAATCACGATGATTCCTCCGTTAGCGGCAAAAAATGCAGGTCCTACATGATCCATCCCAGTCCGGGAGAAGCGGCTTAAGGCTTGAATATCCTGTCCTATGTCATGGGTGTTCCTAATTATTTTTAAGCATAATCTACACCAAAACCTTATTCTAATTGTTGCGAAGGCTGAAGGCTCCGTAGTTAGGGCGCGTTAAACCAAGTACAATTCAAGTACAATCGTAAACTACCATAAGGTGGCTTGTTGTAGGTTTCCATTGTCTAAGCTCTAGTATGGAATTGATAGGGGCCCCCTCCCAAACGTACGTTTGTTGTAGTGCTGTTTCCAGAAACCCCAGCGGACTGCTTACTAAACATATGGTCGTCCCATAACATACTGTACCTTTCTTATGTAAAGACTATACAATACTAAATTGCTAAGCGAGTGCAATATGGTTAATATCGTCTACCGCAAGTCATGACGCGAGTTATCCTCAGCCCTAAAGCCCCTAAAGCCCGAAGCCGCGGATGTGCAGGCACAGCAAGATGGTGAGAAGGACATCAGGCAAACGAGTGTGTGGGCATGTTGGCAGCGGCCTTTCCGGGGGACCGTGAATAATTCGTACTACAGTTATTCCTGAGGATTCTTAATCGTTGGACTTTTACTATGATGTTCCCCAAGACCCTGTTGTAATGGTGGTCATGTTGTAATGGGTCATGGCCGCTATGTTCAAAAAATGAAGGGTTTGTTTTATTTGTCCAGGGTTCTGTCCGGTTTAGGTTTCAGGTCAGCCGAGGGCTTGCGTATGGATGCTCTGGAACTTGGGACACACTCTAATTTTCAAGCGCCCCTGACGGAGGCTTTCACCCGAGCTCGCCAGAATACTCCAGAGGCGGCGGTTTCGCGGTTTCGTGGGTTTAAGGATTTGTGGCTTGGATTATTTTGGGCTGCTTTTGGTCTTAACTATTTTCGAAAGCAGTAGGAGGGGTGCGGTGGCGGTAGCAGGCTTATGAGATTACGGATATGCACGATCGAGTACTGTAGGCCCCAGTCAAGGTAACAGCCACGATGCTCCAACGCATTCGCTTCCTGGCATGAAACCTTTGTCATAGTTGGGTAACATTTTACATTTTTAAGGGTGCTTAAACCCAATAAGGAATATAAATTCAAATTCTTAATACTACCCCAACCATGAACTAGAAACGATGCGCACGGTGACCCAGACGCGAAGACACAGAGACTGCAGCCTGTGAGGCTCAACCCACAACCCGGACTTCGAAATCCTCCACATTGAGCCCTCTGCCCTGCAGGAAACCCTAAGCATGGACGAACATACACAAGATGTAAGTATCAAGACATGCACAGAGAGTTGGACACACACACACACCCACACATATATATATATATATATATATGAGTATATACACATACCTATATGTATGCCTATGTATGTATGCATTTGTGAGTTCATGTGTGTATGTACGTATGTATGTACGTATACGTATATGTAGTACGAATAGAAAGTGCGTGTGTCTATATATATATATATACATACAAGTATGGATGGATGGATGGATGGATGGATGGATGGATGGATGGATGGATGGATGGATGGTATCTATGTATCTGTGTATCTATGTATCCATGTATACACATACACGCATTGCTTGCATGCAGATACATACATATGTACTTGTATATATATATATATATGCATGCAAGTAAGACATGCTGAGATGTTGGACTACTAACAGATTACAGTACTCCTCCCAGTTTACTTCGCCTCTGCCTGCACCTCCGACTCTTGGTCTGGGTGTCAGGTTCCAGCGCCGTGCGGGACTTGGGCCTAACGGGCCCCTACACAGCGGAGAGGCGGCGAGTCGTACATGGCACCTTTGTGTACATGTTTGTGCGCCAAGGCAGGATGTATTTGGGTATCTGTATGTCATGTATATATATATATATATATATATTTATTTATTTATATGTATGTATGTACAAAGGATTGCTCATTGTTAGGAAGCGCGTTTATCAGGTAGGTTGTGGTGATGGTGGTGGTGGCGGTGGTGGTGGTGGTGGTGATGGTGGAGGTGGTGGCGGCGGTGGTGGTGATGATGATGGTGACGGCGATGACGACAAGTTGCTGATGCCACCGACGTTGGTAATGCTTCTCTGAACATCTTGGTATGGCATCACTATCTTTGTTCGTACGAGATTCTGTGTATCATGCCTGGTTATTTTGTCGCCTGCACCATGATCAGCAAGTTTATCTTCATCCACCTTCTGCAGCACATGTTCCTTCTGTGGTACAATTCGCGGGCATCATCCGGATTGCTGCGCAACTAAGAGATGTAATTTTTACGCGATCCTATAAGATCCTAAAACCCTAAAACCCTGAGCCCCAACCCCCTAAGCCTAAACTCTAAATTTCAATTCCAAAGTAAATTGAGTATTTAGAGGGGTCGGATTTGGCAGGTTTTGCAGTTTATGGGTGGTACTCGAGCTATTGTCCCGGAGCGAGCCCACAGTTGGACCTCTCAACGAACGTAGCGGTTTAGGGTTTCGTGTTTAGGGCAACCCTGGCAGAATCTCATAAGCAGCACCTTCAAGTGAGTGAACCCATGCGAAAAAGCATGAGAGAAAGCGAGAGTCCTTAAGTGACTTCGACTTGCAAGGAAAGTTCCAGCAACTCAAGAATTAGCCCCCTCAAGCTTGCACCCTGAATTTCAATAGGAAACCTGGCCAATGTACTTGGGCATCGTGCTGTTCATAGTCATTGCCATCGTGTCCCGGCTCTCTGATTTCAGTTTTACAGCGGCTTTTAGGATCGGGGCGGCCCAAGGGTTTTGTGTTTGGGTACTACAAGGGCCTTGATACTTAGAATCCGGTTTTGGGGCCCATGATACTATATGTTATTATAGGGAACCCCAAAAATAATATAGGTGATTATGAAGGCCCCCGCCCCCCACATTAGGGCTTCAGGGGTTTAGGGGTTGAGGGTTTCGGGTTTAGGATGATGGCTTTCAGACCTCTGGGTCTTCCAAAGAGAGAAAGCAGGTTCACAAAAGGATTGACACTGTAACTAACCCATTACACCTTCAAGCCCGAACTGTCCTGCAGCCCAAAATCTACGGCCTAAATCCAATATGCTGAACCCTAAGCCCTAAACCCTGAGCCCTAAATTTTAAATGCTAACCCGAAACCTCCAGTCCCAGCCCTCCCATGATGCATGCAAGCGCTCGACAGCTGACGTATGGCATGAAAGCCGTCGAGGCTTTAGGGTTTCTTAACCCCCAAACCCCAAAACTCTGTAAGCTTCAGATTGAAAGCGGTTTTAGGTTCCCTAAACCCTAAGCCTGTTCAGGTTCAGGGTTCCCTCAACCCTGAATCCTTTAACGTTAAGGCTTTAAGCTTCAGAGTTTAGGGCCTTGCGCTCTACCCTTGGGGTTCAGAGTGCAGCGAAGCTTGGCACTCCGCCGGTAAGGTCTTCGCCTACATCTACATCCAGGTCGAGTCTGCACCATTTTTGTGTCCCGCACCGGTCATGCCTGCGGCTTATACTTCAAACTGCATTTCCTGGCAGAGCGGACCCTAGATGCGCGAAACAATCCGAACGAGTAGCTCTCGTAGAAAGCTTTGACTATCTGCGGCCTCATATGCGCACAGAACCTATTGCCAAGTCTACTTCTGGATGAGGGCCGAAGACATCCCATACATCTGCACCAGCACAGGTGATCCTCGAACCAGATACCCAGTTATGGACTGGTGTGCTTGCTTGTAAGGCGGCTCTCTAAATTGCATACATTGGGCCTTCAGCCCACAGTACCTGAAGCCCTGAACGATTAAACCCTCAAGTTCCAACTCCAAAGCCTACTGCTAAACCCGCGAAGCTCAAAGTGCTTTATAGGGCCAGGGCTCACAACTATGAATCGTGCCCCTTTACAGCTATGTAGTCTCATGTACCCTAAACCCTACACCCTAAACCCTAAACCCTAAACCCTAAACCCTAAACCCTAAACCCTAAACCTTAACCTCGTCTACCTCTTAAGGCCCCTGTAGTGAGCCGCAGGAGCAGGCCGCCAACGAGGAGGAAGAGCGGTTTCACGAGGAGGAGAGTTGGCTCTGCCGGGCTGAAAACAAGAGTTTAGGGTTTAGGGTTTAGGGTTTAGGGTTCGGTTTAGGGTTTAGGGTTTAGGTTTTAGGGTTTAGAGTAATGTAGGGGCTCATATAATTCCCAACACTATTCTGGGGGTTCCGTATTCTGATTATAGTATAATGGGCTCAAAAGCCTATATGTATATTCATGCTTCGTATAGATATAGATATCTTTTTGGGAAAATACTTTGTTTATTGAGTTTTTGTTTATGTTTTTGTAACTTCAACAAATAGTCAACTTGCTCATCTATTTGTTCACTCTCTTGTTTGTTCATTCACTCATACTTATGTTCGTATTTCATGTTTATGTGTGTTTCATTTGTGTGTTCTCCATTTCTGCATTTGTTTATGTGTGTGTTCTGTATATAGCGAGAAAGACAGACCGTGAGGGAATGCTTTCATCAACTATCCAGACATCTAAGGATTAGGGCTGCTCGGCATACTTTGGGGGGGTTTCTAGGATTGGTTAACGTCGGGGTTTAGTTGTGCCCGGCTTTCAGCGAAATCTTGGTGTCAAAATCACACAACAAACTGTTGCAATCCTAGGGATTCCCGAGCAGACGGAAAGTGGTGCTCAGAAATTAACCTAGACCCTAAATCCTAAACGGGCTGGTGATCAACACGCAAGTACCTTTGAACGAAGGCAAGGGTCTGATTGCTCACTTGTGCAATCGTCCTGTTTGACAGGAAAGCAGTTTTTCACATTTCCAAACCCAGCCTAAACCCTAGACCCGGGAGCCTGAAACAAAGCGAACCTTCCCACAGAGAATTTCCTTGATCCACACCTGAGCACGTGCAAAGCTAGATCTAAACAATATGAAATTTAACATCACCGCCTGCCCACAAAGTCCCTATATAATGAACGGCCCCAAACTGGCCCTAAACCGGATCAAGATTTAAGGAGTGGCAGGATACATCGTGATAAGCTAAACCCTAAAGCCTAAGCCCTGAACCCTGACAAGGTTGCGGCAGTTGACAAGACTCCCTCAAAGACCCTCGCTGGCTCTCCTCTGCCCACAACAGTGAGTGCAGGACGCCTACTGGCTCTTCCGTGAGTTCGGGTAGCAGTTCATGCGCAGCCTCTGCCAGAACTCCAAAATGCTCTCTCTGTTTGCATTATCGGCACTCGGTACCCTACTGAAGCATCTAGGGAACCCTTGGCTAACGATGCATATCTACCTTCCCAACGGGATACTCATGCCCAGTGGGGCACGGTAGGTTTCTTGAGCCCGAAGATTCATTCAAAAAAAAGGTGGATTTGATGTCTCTTTCTGGGGATACCAGCAGCATGTCACAACATGGGGGCATTGATGCAGAATAGGGTTGTGGGACATGTTCTTTTACATGCCTCCAGGACTGCTTGGGAATAGTGTTCTCTCCAGTCAGGGCCCGATTGCCCCAACTGAGTGCCCGGAGACCAGAGCCTGACATGGCGTTGCAGCTTTGTTTCTGGTGGAAACAGGTATCCCTGCCCTAGTTTCAACTCTGCCCCGACGGTTTTGGTTAACAGAGACTGGCTTTGTTGTAGGTTTTTGTTTCTTAAATCCTGCTATTTCCTAGACCCGAGTCCGCCCCGTTTCTGAAACTCCCTTGTCCACAGCCGTTCATAGCATTGGACCCTACACTCTTAATTCTGCAATGATTCTAATCTTAAGCCCCGAACGATAAATGCCTACAGTCGTCCTGGCAGAAGTCATGGCAGGGGACATGTCTCCATTTCGGCCCGAACAGTTTCCGCTGATGCTTTACAGAAACAAGCACATCGACCGAAGCTTGCACCCGCCTTTCCGGCAATACTGTCGGCTCCAGGGTATAGAGTATAGGCAAGCCTTTGCATCCAGAGCATTTGATTCCTTCAAAGCATAGAATGCCATGCGTAGAACTCAACAATCCTACATAAAACCCAAACTTGAACCGTTAACCCCAAACCCCAGACCTAAACCCTAAGCCCCAAAGTTCAACCCTTAACCCGACTCCGGGGCAGCCGCCATGATCGCACTACAGTGATCGGCACGGTCCATTTGCCGCGTGCCGGCAGTGATCTCTCCGGGGCAATAGCCTTAGGGTTCCGGGATGTTCAGGTTTGTGGTTTTAGGGTTTACGCTTCAGGTTTGTAGGTTTAGGGGCTTAGGGCAGCTACCGTCCTTACATGGCTTTCTCAAACTCTCAGGAAGCCAGGGTGGCAGAATGACAAGCCAAGCTGCTTTGGCAGCCGCGCTGGCGGTGCAGGTCTGTTCTCAAGTTGGCGGTGTCGGAAGGGTGTTACAATGGGGCTTTATTAGGAATCTATCACGGTGTAGTCGACGCTTCTAGGATGGGTTTCAAAAGGGCTGAATAGGGTTTCAGGTAGGGCTTAAGTAGGTTTGTGGAGGGTGTGCAGATCGAGCATCTTGGCCTTTGTCAGCGAAGTTCGCTGTGGATTGTGCGCTCCCGCCCCCTAGAAGCCCGGAGGTTGTGAGCAAGCGGGCCTCCAGAACATCAGGTCACTACACTATGTGATGTGTCTCAGTAATACCTGTTCTTCGACGGGCTTTTTATTTGGTCGTTCTTCACTCCAACAGCTGGCTTTCGTCCACCAGACTTACTTTCATTTGTTGTGAGTTTTTGCCTCATTTCAAAGTGTCATGTTTTGCACCATTGTTCCAAACACGTGAGCTTGGAGCCTGGACGCTCACTCTGTCTTTCACTTTCTCCTGTGCTCTGCCCCTCCCTCCCTCTCTCTGACTCTGTCTGACTCTCTCTCTCTCTCTGGCTCTCGCTTTCTGTACACGCTTGAAACTGTGCGTGTATATGTATATATATATATATATACATATCAATATACGCATATATATATATATATATTTTTTTTTAAATATATATATATATACACATACATGTTTGTATAAGTAAATAAATAAATATGTATATGTATATATACACAAATTACACACACTCACGACGGCAGTTTAAACCCATGCTCTGCGAGTTCTCGATTGTTTTTCCTCCAAGCTTCCTGCAGGAGTCACTGCGGCGTGCAGCCGAGCTTTGGCTCTTCAAGGGCATGACGGTTCTGTGTTGTAAGCTTCAGGTTTAGAGTCTAGGGTTTAAGATCTTGTCACTTCATGAGCTTTATTTAGATACGGGCATGTAGGTTTCAAGATGTTTTAAGGTCCTTCCTTGCATCAGGAATTGTTCATCTTTGTTTGTACATTTTAACTTGTGGGCATGAACATCGTCAAATCGAGCACTGGCGCCCCAAACCAGCTAAACTTGCTCCAGTACTGTCGCGCGCGTTATGTCATCTTTGTGCTGTTCTGTTCATGGTCATGATCCCATTGTTCGCGCGTATTCAGAATTCAGGCGAATGCTGGCTTTGCGATCCTGACAGATGTTGCTATCAACCCTAAACCCTGAACCCACAACCCCGAACCCTAAACCTTTTTACTTAGCGTTACTATGCATTCCTCGTCCCGCACGTTCCCCCCTTCCTCCCGAACCTTAAGTCTGAATTCTTAAACCTTCCAAGCCGAAACCTTTAGGCGCAACCCGCGCCACTCTCTCTAGATCCCGGCTTAAGTTTACAACCGTAAACCCTAAACCCCGAACCCCACATACCCTAAACCGAAAGCCCTAGACCCTCACCCCTCCGAGGAAAGCTGCGAGCTGGTTCTGCAACATGAGGTGGCCAGGATACGGGGAAGTCAAACAATATCGGGCTCGGAATACCTACTAACTTTATTGTCTTGTAGTCCAAACCACAAATACGGTGTATTATTAGGTCCCTGTATATATACCAGCCGGTGCAGGCAGAATCGTCTAAGGTTCATTTTTGCTGAGGGGTTCAGTCGTTAAGGCTTCAAGGTTTGGGGCGCAGGGATTAGCGCCTGGGGGTACTGGCGATCGAGCTCGGAGATAGATAGTGGAGATTTTAAGGTTCTGGGAGCGGCTGCAAGTTCTTTCGCGCAGCGATTAACGAATGGATCAGGACATTCTGGCCCGTAGGGTTCGGTCCCAAACCCCTAAATGCTCAAGAGGCAGGTGCGTGTGTGTCGTGCTGTTCGGCTGTTGCTGCAACAGAAAGGGACGCTGAAGACTTGTAAATCAGTCGTAAAGCCATGAGTCTTAGCAACATCGGTAGACTGGCGCAGCGCGTAGCACTGCACCTCGTCGCAGTTTACAGCTACTAGCTGAGATGATAATTGCTTTTGACTAATTCACCGAGAAGCTCAGGCCTTGCCACGTGGATAATTTGCCATAGAATCTGGTTCAAACAAAACCCCCTTCTGAGGGTTTGATTTTGAGGGTCTCCTGCCAAGAAGCTTGTTGAACATTAAAAAGTTTCCTTTAAAGAGTTGCTATGCAGAGCGCTTTAAAAGATTACTATAAGTCGATCCTACTATTAGTCGATCCTGGTTGTAGAAGAGCCGCCGCCCCAGGCAACTCTTGGCCAAGAGATCGCGGAGCTTCAGGCGCAAGGGATCCGGGAATCAGGGCCGAGAAGACTTGCTTCGGCTTTGGGAATGTTTACTGTAGCCGTTTCTCAACCCATTGGCCAAAAGATCCGATCTCACAGAATTGGAATATAGTTATAGTAGGTTCTAGTGTATTATAGTATCTTATGTATTGTATTGCAATAATGTTGTATTTTAGAGTTTGAACACAGAGCCTTCAAAAACACGGCGGGGTCCCAGGGCCTTGTGCCTCCAGGTTAATCAACGGTTGCCGAGCTAGCACCTTTTATTCGTTTTTGCTTCATCACTCGACTCCCAGACTCCCATGTCCTTTCATTAACTTAAACATATATTTTAGTTTTTTATAAGCCCTAAGCCCATAGTCTACATCCTATGCCTTACTTTAAGCACTTGAATCTTGCATTCCTCATAGCCTATCCCTGAGCCTTAAACTTAAACCCCTAAATTCTATGCCCGAGATAGGTCCCTGCCATCGGTTCCAGCGTGCTCTCTGCCTGCCACGAGCTTGCCGGGTCTGTGAGGCGCGGCGGGACTTAGGGTGTATAGGGTTTCGGATTTATAGGGTTCAGGATGTAGGGATTTAGGGACCTTGGGGTGGGTCTACGGATTTAGCGTTTCGGGTGTAGGGTTCATGATTTGTTTTTCATGTTCTTAATTTTGTTGTTGTAAACTTTGGAGGTCTTGTACAAGGGGGTTTATACTGCTTGAGGGTGTCTGGCGGTAGGGAGGTACGCAGATAGGGTGTTGCAGGAGTGTTGATGGATTTTCCATCGGGTCGTCAACAGGTCACCGGGCTTAGAGAAGCATAGTCTGTGTCGTGGGGCGTTTCATCAGTTCAGAATCTCGCATGCAGGTGTCGCTGTCGTGGGGTTTTGAGTAAGCAATCCATAGTATAAGCAATTCAATTATGTAGGGACGAGACTGGCCGCTTTATTCGGGATTTCACGCTTCAGGGACTTAGGAAGCTGAGAAGACCTGGCACTATCATCATTACCTTATAAGGCATTGAAATCACTACGATGTAAGCCTAAACCCTAGATCCCTGGCCCTAGAAAGCCTTAAAGCTCTAAGCCCCAAACCCTGGGCCAGGCATGGTACCGAAGCCTGGGACTCAACGGGAGAAGACCTCGTGCTGGGAATTCCGGGTGTAGCGGGTGCAGGGATTTTGGACTGTAGAGGGTTTAGGGCTTTAGGATTTCAGGTTTAGGGCTTAAGCTCTTGTGTGGACTTAGGGTTTAGTTGGTCTGAAGAGAGCTGTTGTGAGTCCTGAAGACCAAACTTCGCCACTGCAATTGTTCGAGTAATTGAACACATGTCAATTCCTTGGAAATCTAGTTAACTACTCGCCGTTCGAACCATTCAAACTAGTTACTAGTTGTGCCGGGTATCGCTACCCGATCTCAAGGATCGCAGTTGCTAAACCCCAAACCCCAAGACTCTGAACCCTAATCCCCCATATACCCTATGCTGACAGATAAGGAGCGGAGATGCCATCGTCATTGTATCTCTGCTAGAGACAGCTGCCTAAATCAGCCGAACACGTTCCGTGACATGACGGTTCTAGAACAAGTTCTACACAGGTTCCTTGTGCGTCCCCTAGGTATATTATACTAGAATTATAATAAGGAACCCCCAAAGCCCTATTCTAATTCTTAAGGCCCCTACATTAACTTCAACCTGCTTCAACTCTGAGCCTCAGTTCCCCCAGGCCGAGGTGCGGTTGCTATCGGGCTATGTGCCTTTCCTGGAGTCGACAGGCTCGCGGGGCTGAACGGGGCTTTCGGGTCTTAACGAATTAGGGTTTAGGGGTTTAAGGGTTTAGGGTTTGGGTTTAGGGTTAGGGTTTAGGGTTTAGGGTTTAGGGTTTAGGGTTTAAGGGTTTAGGGTTTGGGGTTTAGGGTTTAGGGCCTTAACGAGTTTGGCAGTCCTTCAAAGACCTCAAGTGGTTCAAGTGGCTGAAAAGTCTTTGGGTTCAGGGTGTTGCCTGCAGTGCATTTCTGCCTGCGGTTTATGACTTGGCTTCTGCCCCACTCAGAAACAGTTGAGTAATTTTCATACTTGATACACATATATACATATATATAGATAGATGGATGGATGGATGGATGGATGGATGGATGGATGGATGGATGGATGGATGGATAGATAGATAGATAGATAGCTATATATATATATATAGAGAGAGAGAGAGAGTGTAGCAGTGTATATACATAGAGAGTGTGCATATATATATATATATATAGAGAGAGAGAGTATATACATAAACATAACTAAATGCCTTTTTGCCGAAGGTTACAGGATTTGGGGGCAGTACCAAGTTTAACTATGGCGGCTTAAGGTCTAGTCTAGTTGGCATCTGGGTCCATTGGCAGTGGGTTTTGCATAGGACTTCGCTGTTGTGCAGTTATGTTCGTCCGGGGGGCTTTTTCTATTCACAGAATATGACAGGTGCAGGTTATGCCCGACTCATCCCGCACCGCGTAACCTGCAGGCCGCAGGCCGCATATCCAGACGCCCTTTGCAGTCCTCAAAACGAACCTTCACTCCTGACAGCCCTAAACCCTACTCGCCCTCAGCCCTAAACCCTGCACCCTAAACCCCCCCAAACCCGAAACTCTACAGCCTAAAGGACTTTCTTTTTTTTCCGGGGAGGTTACGTGTGGCTGGACTTTGGCATCGCCAGCACCTTCCTAGTCGTGCTCGCCATCCTTTGGGCATCCCAGCGCAAGCTGGAGGTTTAGGGTTTATAGGATTTAGGGTTTATAGGGTTTAATGCGGTTTAATTTACGTAGGTTTAGGGTTTAAGATTTCGGGTTCGCACTAGTTCGGTTATGTGATCAAAAGATACTTGCTTGCAAGGTACCTATACAGGAGAAGGTCTGTGGGTATCCATTCAGGTGTCTATACCAGTATCTACTGAGTTTGTAGGAGCTTATTAGGAGCTCCCTAGAATGCTTATAACCTAAACCCTCATAGAATCCTAAAGCTGAACCCTTAAGGTATCCCTTTAAGGCTTTACGGCTCTACCAAAATCCTAAACTGCATGGAGGGTCAGGCACACCAAACCTTGCATTCCGAGGCCCCGGAGTTGACGAAAAGAGCCTCGGGCCAGAGGGGCCCAGGGTCTAGGGTTTAGGGTTTAGGGTTTAGGGTTTAGGGTTTAGGGTTTAGGGGTTTAGGGGTTTAGGGTTTAGGGTTTAGGGGTTTAGGGTTTAGGGTTTAGGGTTTCATCTAGGGTTTGGGGCTGTGGTCTTTATTTCTAGCCTTGGGTTTTCGGTTCAAGGTGTCTTGCCCTGGTCTTCGGCCTTAGTCTTCCAGTTTTTTGGGGGTTTTTGGTCATTGGTCTTCAGGGTTGAGGGTTAGGGTTTAGGGTTTAGGGTTTAGGGTTTAGGGTTTAGGGTTTAGGGTTTAGGGTTAGGGTGCAGTGCAGGATTTCCGGGACTGTTGGGTCTTGCCTAAGCGCTCTCAGTGCTTGCCTGATGCAGCCGGCAAGAAGGGCTACTCTTTTTTCCAAGGTTTAGGGCTTTAGGGTTTAGGGTCTTAGGGTTTTTTGGGGTTAACATTAGCTTGTCACCAACCTCTCAACACACGAATCTGTGCATGGTTGGCTTTGCAGCATACTGTCGGGTTTGTGCAGCTTTCCTCTGGCTGTTTGTGTGTGTGTGTGCAAGACGCCTCTGAAGCTTTTCTACTTCGTGCAAGAGTGTCCACGTTCTTGCAGGTGTGATCATGTTTTTTGTAGCTGATTTTGATCTCAGCAGTTAGCCTGCCTGGGGCCCAGTCTGCCCAAAGATGTCCATTCTAATTCCTACACGAGAGCCCGAAACCATAAGCCCAAAACTCCTACCGGACCCCTAAACACCACAACCTGCTAAATCCTTAAGCCCCTATATGGGGGTTTCCGAAAACAGGGGACCCTAGTATAGTACCCTAAATAGTAGGATCCCTAATATAAGGATCCCAAAATAAGGTACCCCTTAATTTTCGGAAACTCCTATATCCCTCAACCCAAGCCCTCCGGTCCAGAGGAATGTCTTTTCCTGCGGAGCACACTGCGCTGCTGCCGGAAGGCAGGGGGCCCAGGCTCAGGTCCAGTAAGAGATTAGTGATTGGGGGGTTTAGTGAAGTGTAGTGGTCAAATTATGGGCTCAGGCTTTAGGTGTCTAGAGGATGTTGGAGTTTAGGATTTGGGAGGGTCTAGGCTTCAGGGGTTTAGGGCAGGGGTTTAGGATTCAGGGTCAGGGGGTTCTAGGGTTTGGGTTTAGGGTTGAGGGACCCCTGGGTCTAGGGGTTTAGGGTTTAGGGTGGAACTTTGCAAAGCAACGCGGACTGACTAGACGTTTAAGCAACGTTCCCTTTAAAGTTGGGGATGCCGGAACCTCTGTGTGGAATGCCAGCTCAATAAAATAGTTGCAGGCAGGAAGGGAGCAGTGGAGGGATTGAGGCAAACAGCTGACGATTAGGCTTAGAACTGCTACAATTAATACTTTTCCCAATGCGCCGTATGATGTATTTTCAAAAAAATCTGTTTTATGATGATGATGAAAGGGTTTATTATGTATGGTACTTTTCCAACCACAAGAATCCAGAAATCCTCCGAGAGGTGCGAATATGGGGGTTCCATGATCTCCGAACCCTTAAGCCTTAACCCTTAACCACTCAGCCCCAAAACCTATGACTCCTCGACTCCCCCTCCTTAAATAAAACCTATGGCTCCTCGACTCCCCTTCCTTAAATAAAACCTATGACTCCTCGACTCCCCCTTCCATAAGGGTTTAGCAGGTCGAAGGTTTCGAGTTTCGGGTTTAAGGCGCGTCGCAGCGGGTCTTAGTTCGGAGGCCCTTGACGGACCAAACCTTAAACACTAAACTTTCAACCCTAAACCCTAAGAACCCTAAACCCTAAACCCTAAACCCTAAACCTAAACAGCGCCGGCATCCTTACAGACTTTTCTGGCGCGGACAGGGGATCGACCTCAGCGCGATCCGCAAAAAAGTTCAGGTCGAGAGCTCAGAACGGCAAGTTCTATATTTAGGGTGTAGGGTTTAGGGTTTAAGGTTTTGGGTTTAGGGTTTAGGGCAGGTTCGCTTCAGGAGGCAGGGTTTTCATTTTATCGGGATTTTTCTGGTCTTTATAGAGTCTGTTGTGGGTTTTGTAGGGTGTATAGGGAGTCTTTTAAAGTGCAAGGCGCTTGTTGACAGCCTTGATACCTAAGGTTTAAGGGTGTTCGGTTTTGGGAGCCTTAACTTAGAACATCCTCAAGACCATGTCGTGCAACATCTATATTCTAGCAGGCCCCAGCCTTCGTAAAGTAGTGACCAAAACAGCCTTGACTGACCATCTGACGAGTATGGGCTTTCGTAAGTATGGGACCTCGTATAGACCCGCAGTGTCCCTTAGTAGTGGGGCCCCGGCTTCATGAAGTCTCCTACATTAATACGGCACCCAAGTTTGAGAAGACCATAGTGGTTTATAGGGTTCAGTCAGGCTTATAGGGTTTAGGGTTAAGGGATGAGGCAGATGCCTTTGAATGCCTGTCCGGGCTACAGGATAACAGGCGTTAGCCTTTAACCCCTCTTGTAGCCCAGAAGAGCCGTTAGACCTATAACAAAGGAATAGGTAAGGAATTCACGATAAGGAACCCCAAAACTCTAGGCTTTTGGTGTAAAAATAAATCCTGAGCCCCCAAGCCTAAACCAGGGCAATCTCCCCAGTCCAAGATCCCAGATCCAGGCCGCAACGCCCTTCCCGGGACGAAGCTACCAGCCCAAAAACCCCCAAAACCCTCTAAACCCCAAAACCCCAAAGTCCTAAAGCCTGTTGACCCGCCCCATGGGGCTTTCGTTGCGTTTGCCGCAGATCGAAAAAGGCCCGCCGAACAAGCGCCAAAATCCTGGGGGGAATGAGTTTGGACCCTAAACCCTAAGCAAACCCTAAACCCTTAACCCTTAAACCCTTAAACCCTAAACCCCTAAACTTTAAACCCTAAACCCTCAAAAAATAAACCCTAAACCCCTAAACCCTAAACCCTTAAAGCCCTAAACCCCACCAAGCTCCAAACCCTGCACGAAAAACCTGGCAAAACCAACAGTTTGGGGTTTAGGGTTTAGGGGTTTAGGGTTTAGGGTTTAGGTTTTGTGGGTCCCTTTCAAACGAGATTAGGGTTTGGATGAGGGCCCCGGCAGGTTATGGGAGGTTCTGGTGAGCCCTACTCCCTGGTTCTGAGTAGGGCATGGGGGAACGGGTTATAGAGACTACTAGAGGGGACCTCAGAAGTGACTATCATAGGAATAACCAGGGACACCAAAGCCTGAATCCGTAATCCCGAAATAACTCAGGAGGAAGGGGGACGGCTGGAAGTCGCCGGGTGGAACCACGGCACAATGCCACTTGGCTCATGCCGCATCTGAGCTTTTTAGGCTTAAGGCTTAAGATTCTGCGTTCTAAGGCTCAGGGTTTAGGGGTTTAGGTTAGAGTCGGTTAGAATCACTGGATTCAGATTAGAGCATTCCGCTAGAAGCACGGAGCTCGGAACGGTGTGTTTCAGTTGTTGGGGTTGGGATTCAGGGTTCGGGCGCCTGACGGTCTTCGATGTCGAGTCTGAATCTCCATTGGGGCGGAGTTCCGGCTTGGGTCGGTGCGGTTGATGGACAAAATCCTGCATGACCTTATATGCCTAATCTATGGGTTTTATGGTAGTATACTATATTTGGGTCATGCAGAATTTTGTCCATCAACAGTAGTACTTCTTGATATCATTTGCGGTTGAAAACCTGGACTCCAACCCCGCCGAATCCCGAACCCACGATTCCGAATCAAGCCGCAGAGATCCTACGTCAAGGGGTACGTATCACTTCATGACAAGCCCTCTTCGCTGCGATGCAACCTTAGAAGCAGACTATATCCTGCCTTGGAGTTCCTAATGTAGGGCCCAAATAACTCAATTACCAATGCTATCGTTCCAAGAAAAGGCCCAAGAATCTACACGCAACCTATGCCCTGCTAGGCCCAAAAGGCCCCAAACAAAGCGCCGCCGACACAAGATCGGGGTCGGAATAACAGGGGGTTTAGGTCCTAGTTTAGGTTTAGGGTTCAGGGTTTTGGGGTTTTAGGGTTGATACGGTTTAGGTGGGGTGTATACACACACATATATATATATATATATATATGTATATATATATATATATGTATAATCAGTTTATTGTAATAAGGGTTTCTATACGAGGTGCTACTGGGGGATGAACACTGGGGCCGGAAAACCAGCACCAACATCCCCTGATAGTCCTTACATAGCTATCGTAGACTCCCCAAACCACCTTCCGATTATGAAGGCCCGTACGTTATGTTTTTAAAGTAACCCACCCTAAATCCTAAACCCTAAACCCCTAAACCCTAAACCCCTAAACCCCTAACCCCTAAACCCCCAAACCCTAAACCCTAAACCCCCTTGAAGGCGCCCTGAAAAGGAATCTTAGTCTAATGATGACGGCCCCGACAAAGCCCAGGGAAGCCGATGAGAGCGACAGCGATGAGGAAGGCACCGAGACGAAGGTCCCGGCTGCAACGATCTGGGTTTAGGGGTTTAGGGGTTTAGGGTTTAGGGGTTTAGGGTTTAGCGGTTTAGGGTTTAGGGGTTGAGGGGTTCAGGGTTGAGGGGTTCAGGGTTTAGGGGTTTAGGGTTTAGGGGTTGCGGGGTT